TTTCCCCTCACGTTTCCCGTTTCTCCACAAAGACCGAGGGGAGCCTCTCCCAAGAGCTGACCTCCACAACCTCCCGCCGGGTGGCTACCTACAGCTTTTCTGAAAAAGGGAGGGGAAAAGTTCAAACAGCCCCCCTTTGCGAAGGGAAGCTCTAGGGGGCGGCAGGCGGCAGCCCAAGAGCCTAGAGTGGCGACTGTGCCTGGCCGCAAGCGCCTGGGTCGCTGTCACTTCGCAGGTCAGCCACCTTTCTCCGAGAAAGGAAAACCTCGTATAGCAGTGCAGAGTGCCTTAGGAGAACCGAGAGGGCGATTCGAAGAGCCCCGAGCTGGGGTACTCTCCACAACGGCGACAGGATGCACCTCACTCCCAGAGTCAAGGGGATTGGGCAGGGTGGACGAAAGCGCTTGGGCCCAGACCAGGGAACGTGATCAGTGGTCTGGGCTCTTGGGGCACACAGGGGTGGCCATAGCCCCTGGGTTAGAATGTCAGAGCCCGCAGAGTTATTACCAAAGGCATTTCTTTCTTTCCTTCCTTCCTTCGTTCGTTCCTTCCTTCCTTCTACAGAGGAAGGAAAACCACCTACTATAAACCAAACACTTTGACATTAGAACATTTAATTATTGTAATAACCCTGAAAGGTATATATAATTCTATTTTATAGATGAGAAAACTGAAATTCAGAATGGGTGCTTTGCCCAAGGTCACACAGGTATTAAAGGATGTTACTGGGCTCCATACTAGTTCTTCTGGACAGGCTCCTGTCCTTGCCCCACCCTGCACAAGTCACATCCCTGGGGTCCCAGGGTCCCAGAACAAGCTTGTCAGAGTATACCACTGAGCTGGAGCCTGTGGGGCAAACATTCAGCACAGAAGTTCCTGGGTACAATCTGCTCAGCCCTGGGTTTCCTTCTGCCACGCTCCCCCTTCACCCACTCAGCTCTCCCAACATTGGCAGCAGCACCTGTGCCACTCGGACAGCCCACATGGGCAGCTGGGCTCAGTGCTCTCAAGTGTCTTCTTAAAATTTCCAAGGCTGTTTGCACCAGTTAGCTAGGTGACCTCTAGCTGTCCCCTTCTCTTAAGACTCCAGGTTTTTAAAATGTAAATGAAGAGATTTGGGTTTACTGGGGTGCAGACCCTCTTTCGTGATGGAACCGAGCCTTCTCTCCAGAAAGAAGAAAGTCGATAGGCTACTTGGTTACAAGAATCCTGAATTTCTGGTTGTCCTGAAGGCAGAACTGAGGACATGAAGGTTGCTCCCAACTGCTTCATGCCTCTGGTCTTCACCACACAGTGGGATCCTGGTTCTATCCCTTCCTACAGATCCTACAGCCTACTCCAAGACACAGGAGGTGCACTATGGGGGCAGTAGGACAGAAGGTAAGGTCACCACCAGCTTAGCTCCAGAGCGAGGGCACCACAGGACTCCTAAGCCTGACCCAGCAGTTCCTATGCTCCAAGTCTCCACTAAAGGAAGAGCTCATTCATGGGCAGACTGTCTTGGGGCTGACCTAGTTTCCCAGGCCATCTTCTGCCCCTCTGGCTGCAAGAAGCCCTGGTCCACCCCTGATTTCCACCTACCACTAGGGGGCTCCTTGCAGCCGGGAGCTCCAGCCTCTGCTGGTCCCAGGCCCAGGCAAGGACAGGAGGGCACCTAACATCAGGTGAGAGTTCCTGCGCTTCATGCCCACCCAAACTGGAGATGCAGGGCAGTGAACTCTTTACTTATACAAGGCAGAAGCAGTTTTGGGACAATCTCTGAAGTAGAGTGTGGGGCCATTCTCCTAGATCCCCATTCCACAGTCCTTTGGTGTGTGTACTGTACTGGCAAAGATTTCTCCTGGATCCCCCAGAGAACAGGACACCCCTCCCCGCAAGACTGCTAGGCAGTATTAGGGGACAGGGGTATCCAAGAATTGATTGTGTAAATGTGTGTGTGGGGTTCATCGTGTCAGTGATGAGTTTGAGGATGTTTACATACATGCAAGCGCATACATAGTCCTCATTCAATATTATGTGTAGCAACTCATTATCCAAGACATGCAAATGTTGATTGGGCATTTTTATCAAACTCTATTTATGTTGTATTTGCAGTACCGCCATGGCAAGCACATATACATATACTCACGTGGTCTGGCCATCTAGACCAGACTATATATGCTAAAGTATAATTGCTATATATCAGAAACTCTCTCAAATACTTTTGCCTTCACTTGGGAGATTCCTTAAGTCATCTTCTCTAACAGAAGCTCAAAAGTGCAGAGGGAGAGGAGAGAGAGGAAATGAGAGATGAAGAAAGTCAGCCATTGCATTGAACTTTTAGCACTGGGGGTAAATGAGCAAACGATAAAATTTTTGGGAACCCCCTAAGGCTGGAATCAGAGAAAGATATCTTCCTGTGGGCACTGATGGGGAAATGGGGTTAAGATGTGTCTCTCTGCTCTCACCTCTTCCAATCCCTGTGTAGACCAGGAATACTACACCGATTCCTTCATTTCATCTTTTGTACTTGGTGAGGCTGCCACTTTCTCCCTGGCCTTAGGTCCCTCTTGTCTTTCAGTTCTTGGGGGCAGAGAGAGGCTCTGTCCTCGAGTGCTATCCTACGCCAACTTCCTCATCTCACTGGAGGCGCTGCTCCTCTGTTTTTCTGCTTGGGATAGCAGTTGGGAGGTGCTGTTAGCTTCAGAACAGAAAGCTTCAACCAGCTGGAGCAAAGGCTCTGTATGTATTATCTGTTATCATCCAGCAAGCCAGGATTATATACCTATAACATAACTGTACACGTTATATACCCAGAACATAATTGTACACATTGCTAATGACTTATGAATGTAACACACACTGTGATTCCAGTAAGCACTCCCTGAGTACTAGCCATATTACTACAATGCCCTAAATATAGGTCCTCTTTGAAGGTGAATGACAGACACACACACCTCCCACCCTGTCACCAGAATACGACTTAAACATTTACAGCAGGCGCAGACTACACAACTGCCCGTGGGATACATGTTCACACCACAGAGAGAGCACAAACAGACAAGCATGCAGCAGTCCACTTTCTTTTCTGCACCTCCCCTTAGTCAGCCAGACAAAGGCGCAGCAAGTTGCTAGAAGCACCCAGACACCAGGCCTGACCAATCTCTTGGGCTGCTCACCCCTGCTGAGCCTTCCACTCCAGCCTGCTCTTTCTAGACCCTGGCTCTGGCAGGTTCTTGTTGCTGTCTGAGAGTGATGCTCCTTGGAACCTCGATGGCTTCTAACTTCCACCCTCCTGGGGATGCCCAAGGGAGGGTTGGAGGCTGAGCTGGAGCCACTTACCCTCGGCTCCAACTACACATAAACGGGGGCTCCATTCTGACCGTCCAGGGCATGACCATCCGATAGGATGAAGTGGGTGGCCTGCACCCCCACCTTGCGCAGCTCCTTCCCACCACTGGTCAGCTTTGACCTGCAGCCACTTCTGTCCAGGGTCAGAGTAGGGGGAAGTGAGGGACACATGGCCGGGGGCAGGGTACAGCCCAAGCTGCGCCCCAGTCCCGTTGAGGGCTGGCTGATACTTGTCATCTGATGGGAGGGCAGAAGACTGACCTCCCCTAACCCGCCTGGGGACACCACGGCTGCAGCCTGGTCAAAAGCCCCTGTGCTTGAGTGGAAGCACGGGTCTTAATTCGTTATTTGAAAAGTCTCGGTAAAGGAAAAGAAAAAAAAGGTTAGATTTTTACAGTCATGCTGTATGTTCACCCCTTTCTGATACTCCCAAATTTCACGCATATCTTGAGGTAAAAGAATTCTGATTATTAAAAATAATAAGTCACTCCAAAAAGTTACATTTGCACAGAGGTTTGCAGCTTACTGAGCATTTTCACAACCAGGATTTTATCTATTTGGAATAAATTTTTGACCGGAAAAATTTTTTGAGTATGAGGACAATATAAGGAAAATAGCCCACACATCTAGTCCGGCTGTGTAAGAGGTAAAATACAAACTTGCATGGGTGCAAAAACACAATAAATCCTACCTACAATCGCGCTTTCTGAACGAACCTCGGCACATAAAGTCTCTGATGACGTTAAATAGCCGCAACAGACAAGTGATGACACAGAAAACAAACAATCCCTAGGAAAACAAGGCGGCAGCAACAACCACAAACGCCCCCCACTCCGGCTGCCCTTCATCCGTGTTTATTTGAAAAAGGATAAATTTTTGCCGAAAACCTCCCTCTTTTAACTAACCGCTGAATAAACTTAGGCGCGACAGAAATAATATTAAGTCCGTGTTAAAAGAAAGAACAAGAAATTTATTCGGAAATTGACAAGACAAAACAACAAAACAACAAAAGTGCTCTAGTTCTCTCTAGAAATTTTGGTCCTCCAAACGGCACATTACAGAACAACCAGGTCTAGAAGTTTCGGGCCGGCCGGCTCCGGGACACAAGCCCGCCTGGTCCGACTGCTGCCAGGTTTCACATTTCTCCTGCCCAAGGTGCGAGAAGCAAGACGTTTGAAAAACAAAAACGGGCAGAGGACAGGCCGTCCCGGCAGCGTCCGCTAGGCAAGCCGTGATCACCCGACACTCGGGGCTTGCCTCGGAAGATCCGGGGAAATTTGTTTTTGATTTGTTTAATAGGTAGAGGGGGACCCCCACCCCTCAATTCGTAGAGGAAATCGCCTTTTACTGAGGATATTCTCCTACCTCTCTGAATACAGCTTTCTGAAGGCCCGACAGGAATTCTACTTCAAATCTCCTGGAAGAGAAGATTTTTCATGTTTTGCTTTAGCAAACCCCAAGGCCACAATACTTCGCGGGTTTTCCCGGTGAGTTTTTTCCTTAACAAAAAAATTTAAAATACATCTAAACTAGCTCTCCCGATTTTTAAAGCAAAACCTTAGCCAGCCGCTTGGGCCTGGAGGGGCCCGAGGCGCCAGGATGGAGAGCAGAGGAAACGCAGCCTCTCTCCGAGCCGGGATGTGGTGTAAAGCCAGGCGCAGGCCGCCCGGCTAGGCGGCGGGGCCCCCTGCTCGGGCCCAACCCTCGTCCCGCCCAGTGGACCCCGGCAAACCGCTTCTGAAAGGCTCCAACAGGATACGCGGAGCAAACACACGTTCGTCCCTGTTACTGGCGGCGCAGGGCTCGATGTTGGCCCAAACCCGCGCTTCTAGGCACGGGTTGCACGGCAGCCGGGCGGGCAAAGCCGAGCGCGAGCGCACCGACCTGTGTGTGAGAGAAGGCCAAGCGGTCTGCGCCGCAAACGGCCGGCTGCACCTCGACCCAGGCACTTCCTCTGCGCCGTGCATTTTGGCATGGGGTGTCCAGCCCAGATGCTGGGGCGCCGAGAGGAGACTAGGCCTGCAGAAAGCGCGCAGAGAGGCGGCCTGCAGGCAGGAGGAGCGAAAGGGCATAGAGGGTAGGGAGGCGAGCACAGGAGGAGCAGAGACAAAGAGGAGAGAGAGGAGCCGAGAGGAGCGAGGAGGCGCAGAGGGGCCGCGGGCGCTGGCTCAGGAGGTGGCCGCAGCGGGAGCGCGGTCGGGCTGGCGGCGGTGGCTGCAGCCGAGGCCGGCGGGG